TAGGTTTATTCCTAGGTATTTTATAGGTTTTGGTGCAATTGTAAATGGGATCGATACCTTGATTTCTCTTTCTGTTGCTACATTATTCGTGTATAGAAATGCAACCGATTTCTGTACATTGATTTTATATCCTGCGACTTTGCTGAATTCATGGATCAGTTCTAGCAGTTTTTTGGTGGAATTTTTTGAGTTTTCCATATATCATGTCATCTGGGAAGAGTGAAAGTCTGACCTCCTCCTGGCCGATCTGGATGCCTTTTATTCTTTTTTGTTGTCTGATTGCTGAGGCTAAGACTTCCAATACCGTGTTGAGTAACAGTGGTGAGAGTGGACATCCCTGTCTTGTTCCTGACCTTAGGGGGAAAGCTATCAGTTTTTCCCCGTTGAGGATGATATTAGCGTTGGGTCTTTCATACATGGCTTTTATGATCTTGAGGTATGATCCTTCTATCACTACTTTCTTGAGGGTTTTTATCAAAAAAGGATGCTGTATTTTGTCAAATGCTTTCTCTGCATCTGTTGAGAGGATCATGTGGTTCTTGTCCTTTCTTTTATTGATGCGATGAATCACATTGATTTTTTTGCGGATATTGAACCAGCCCTGCATCCCAGGTATAAATCCCACTTGGTCGTGGTGAATAAATCTTTTAATGTTGGATCCGGTTGGCTAGTATCTTGTTGAGGATTTTTGCATCCATATTCATCAGGGAAATGGGTCTGTAGTTCTCCTATTTAGTGGGGTCTTTGTCTGGTTTTGGAATCAAGGTAATGCTGGCTTCATAGGATGAGTTTGGAAGTTTTCCTTCCATTTCTATTTTTAGAACAGCTTTAAGAGAATAGGTGTTAATTCTTCTTTAAGTGTTTTGTAGAATTCCCCTGGAAAGCCATCTGACCCTGGACTCTTGTGTTTTGTGAGATTTTTGATTACTGATTCGATTTCTTTACTGATTATGGGTCTACTCAAAATTTCTATTTCTTCCTGTTTCAGTTTTGGTACTTTATAAGTTTCTAGGAATTTGTCCATTTCGTCCAGATTGCCCATTTTGTTAGCATATAGTTGCTCATAATATTCTCTTATTATTGTTTGTATTTCTGCTGTGTTGGTTGTGATCTCTCCTCTTTTCATTCTTTTTTTTTTTTAATTTTTAATGCTTATTTTTGAGAGAGAGAGACAGACAGACAGACAGAGCATGAGCAAGCAAGGGGCAGAGAGAGAGGAAGACACAGAATCCAAAGCAGGCTCCAGGCTCTGAGGTGTCAGCACAGAGCCTGATGCGGGGCTCGAATTCACAAACGGCGAGATCATGACCTGAGCCAAAGTCAGACACACAACCAACAGGGCCACCCAGGTGCCTCTTTCCTCTTTCATTCTTGATTTTATTTATTTGGGTCCTTTCCTTTTTCTTTTTGATCAGTCTGGCCAGGGTTTATCAATTTTGTTAATTCAAAGAACCAGCTTCTGGTTTCATTGATCTATTCTACTGTTTTTTTTTCTTTTTGTTTTGTTTTGTTTTGGTGTCGATAGCATTGATTTCTGCTCTGATCTTTATTATTTCCTGTCTTCTGATGGTTTGGGGCTTTATTTGCTGTTCTTTTTCCAGCTCCTTAAGGTGTAAGGTTAGGTTATATATCTGAGACACAACCCTCTTCCTTCTGTCTTCTTTAGGAAGGCCTGGATTGCTACATGCTTCCCCCTTATGACTGCCTTTGCTCCATCCCAGAGGTTTTGGGCTGTGGTGTTATCATTTATGTACTTTTTAATTTCCTCTTCAACTTCTTGGTTAGCCCATTCATTCTTTAGTAGGATGTTCTTTAGTCTCCAAGTATTTGTCATCTTTCCAAATTTTTTCTTGTGGTTGATTTTGAGTTTCATAGCATTGTGATCTGAAAATATGCATGGTACGATCTCAATCTTTGTACTTGTTAAGGGCTGATTTGTGTTCCAGCATGTGATCTATTCTGGAGAATGTTCCATATGCACTGGAGAAGAATATGTATTCCACTGCTTTAGAATGAAATGTTCTGAACATATCTGTGAAGTCCATCTGGTCCAGTGTGTCATTCCAAGCCATTGTGTCCTTGTTGATTTTCTGTTTAGATGATCTGTCCATTGCTGTAGGTGGGTGTTCAAGTCCCCTACTATTGTGATATTATTATCAATGAGTTTCTTTCTGTTTGTGACTAATTGATTTATATATTTGAGTACTCCCACATTTGGAGCATAAATGTTTACAATTGTTAGCTCTTGATGGATAGACCCCTTCATTATGATATAATGCCCTTCTGCATCTCTTGTTACAGTCTTTATTTTAAGATCTATGTTGTCTGATATAAGTATGGCTACTCTGGCTTTCTTTTGGCGACCATTAGCATGATACATAGTTCTCCAACCCCCTACTTTCAATCTGAAGGTGTCTTTAGGTATAAAGTGGGTCTCTTGTAAACAGCATATAGATGGATCTTGTTTTCTTATCCATTTTGTTACCCTAGGTCTTTTGATTGGAGCGTTTAGTCCATTGACATTTAGAGTGAGTACTGAAATATATGAATTTATTGCCATTATGTTGCCTGTAGAGTTGGTGTTTCCAGTGGTGTTCTATGGTCCTTTCTAGTCTTTGTTGCTTTTGGTCTCTTTTTTTTCATCTTTTCTCCCCTCAGAGTCCCCCTTAAATTTTTTTGCAGGGCTGGTTTAGTGGTCACGAACTCCTTTAATTTTTATTTGTCTGGGAAACTTTTTACCTCTCCTTCTATTTTGAATGACAGCCTTGCTGGATAAAACGTTCTTGGCTTCATATTTTTCCGATTTAGCACATTGAATACATCCTGGGGGGCATAATTATTTACAATTGTTAGATCTTCTTGGTAGATAGACCCCTTAATTATGATACAATGCCCTTTGTCATCTCTTGTTATAGCTTTTATTTTAAAATATAGTTTGTCTGATGTAAGTATGGCTACTCCAGCTTTCTTTTGATGACTGTAGCATGATAGATGGTTCTCTATCCCCTGACTTTAAATTTGCAGGTGTCTTTAGGTCTAAAATAGATCTCTTGTAAGCAGCATATAGATGGGTCTTGTTTTCTTATCCATTCTGGTACCCTGTGTCTTTTGATTGGAGCATTTAGTCCATTTACATTTAGAGTAAGTACTGAAAGATATGAATTTAGTGCCGTTGTGTTGCCAGTAGAATTGGTGTTTCTGGTGATGTTCTCTGGTCCTTTCTAGTCTTTGTTGCTTTGGGTCTTTTTAGTTTTGCTTTGTTTTGTCTTTTCTCCACTCAAAGACTCCGCCTTAAAATTTCTTGCAGGGCTGGTTTAGTGGTCATAAACTCCTTTAGTTTAGTTTTGTTTGTCTGAGAAACTCTTTATCTCTCTCTCCTTCTATTTTGATTGACAGTCTTGTTGGATAAAGAATTCTTGGCTGCAGATTTTTCCGGTTCAGTATGTTGAATATATCCTGCCACTCCTTTCTAGCCTGCCAAGTTTCTGTGGATAGGTCTGCTGTGAACCTGATCTGTCTTCCTTTATAGGTTAAGAACTTTTTTCCCCTTGCTGCTTTCATAATTCTTTCCTTACAAGACAACTTTTCAAAAAGCCAATGTCATAAGGAAGGTGGTATATACAGTAAAACCTTGGATTGCAAGTAACTTGTTCTGGGAGTGTTCTGCAAGATGAGTGGAATAAATTTTAATTTAAAATAAATTTTAACTTGATAAATGAGTGATGTCTTGCAATACAAGTAGTACATGATGCTGAATGTCACATGATCATAACTGAGCCAATGGTTCTTGAAATTCACTTTGATATACAAGTGCTTTGGATTATAAGCATGTTTCCAGAACAAATTATGCTCGCAAACCAAGGTTTTACCATAGATGTGTTATAGATTAAGAGAATCTGAAGAGACGTAATATCTAAACACAAGTGCAATGCATGAACTAGATACTTATTCTCAAAATAGCTATAAAAGACATTTGGGTAATTGGGGAAATTTGAATATGGACTAGGTATATGATGATATTATTACATTATTGTTAATTGTTTTTAAATGTGGCAATAGCATTGTGGTTATGAAGGAACACTTCTTTTTTGAAGAAGTTTAATGGATATATCTAGAATTATAAGTGCCATGACAGCTGTAACTTATTTTCACAAGGTTCAGGAGACAGACACAGAGAAAACAAATATGACAGCATTTACATTAAAAAAGTATATAGGTGAGGGGCACCTGGGTGGCTCAGTCAGTTGAGTGTCTGACTTCAGCTCAGGTCATGATCTCACAGCTTGTGAGTTCGAGCCCCGTGTCGGGCTCTGTGCTGACAGCTCGGAGCCTGGAGCCTGCTTCAGGTTCTGTGTCTCCCCCTCTCTCTGCCCCTAACCCACTTGCATTCCTGTCTCTCTCAAAAATAAATAAATATTAAAAAAAATTTTTTTAAGTATATAGGTAAAAGATGTGCCAGGTTCATTATCCCAGTATTCCTTCAATTTTCCTGAGCATTTGTGATAATTTGACAATAAAAATAAATTGGGCAAGGAAAGGATATAGAAATAAGTATTTCCAGACATGATATATGTCGCCATCATAAAACTCATTTTCAAGAAAATTATATAAAATGTCACTAATACTTGTAATACATTTAAGGGGATTTCTAAATGAATTTGAGTACTTAGTTAAGCACCAGATTTACATTCTGCAAATTATACGCCCCAACAAAGTTACTCTTGTGCCTGGGGAAGTTTGTATACAAAACTGGTTAAAACAGGCAGAGGCAGGATCACTAAAATGCTTCTAAGGATTTTGTTCTTGACAGAGAATGCAACCAAATCCAGCAGAAATACTACATATAGCTAGTACGTGACATCTTATACCCACCACATTTCCAGAGGGAGGGGTGGTTAGGTGGCTCAGTTGGTTAAGTGTTCGACTCTTGATTTTGGCTCAGGTCATGATCTCACATTTCATGGGTTCAAGCCCTGAGTCGGACTCTGCATTGACAGCGTGGAGCCTGCTTGGTGTCGTAGACTCTAAGTCTAAAGTTCTTTTTTGGCCTGCAAAAGAGCGGATGCAGGATTAAAGTGAGAGATGGCTAATGTCTGGGAAAAGACAAGAGCCCTGAATAAGGGTCCTTGCCCCATTTTTATTAGGATCAGAAGGCTTACAAACATGGCAATGGACATGCACAAAGGGACAATGCATCTGTGAACATTAACTTGTGGACATGAGGGAAAGGGAGTCTTGAAGATATTCGTGGTTAGGGGTTTGGGTTAATACAAAACAAAATCCGGGCCCCCGGGCAGTCGGGAGGAGGGTTGTTTACAGCAGACTTGAGGCAGCATCTCTGTTTACCTTAGCCAGCCTAGTGGATGAGACAGGTAGGGGGAGTAACCTCAGGGTTGACAAGGCACCTTTTGTTTTGTTAACCATCTCCATTCTGGACTGCTTTGCCTGCAGGGCAGTGGGTCCATAGTCCAATTCACCAATTTACCTAACCTGGCCCTATTCTCCTGTGAAAGCAGCTTTCTGCTATAGTACTAAATTTGGGGTGCTTTCAGCCTGGATATATAATCTTGTTATTCCTATGTATTGGGCACCTTTGTGCCGTTTCTATTTCAGGCCTTTGCCTCTATTTTGGGGGGCTCTGCACCCTCTCACCAAAAATAGGGGTGCTTTTGCACCTCTCTAATCCTGGCACCTTTGTGCCTCCCTACTCTTGGGGTGTCTTTGCACCCCCCTATTCTGGGAGTGCCAATCTGGTTTCCCCAAACTCGGCTGTGAGCATTTTATGACTTTGTATTTCTTTATGCCTTGTCAACCCATTGGTGTAAGCCCGGGGGATTCCTAAGCTTATCCCCCACAGCTTGGGATTCTCTCTCTCCCTCTATCTCTGCCCCTACCCATTTCTCTCTCAAAATAAACAAACGTGAAAAAAAATGTCTGGAGATAAAGATAGAAACGAAAACCATCAGGACTATAAAACCAAAGAGAAACTCACTTCTTCCAGGAGATCCAGTACAACCATTCCCTAATTTTCCCTTTTCCCATGCAGGGTTGAGATAGACAGGAACCATGACAAATACCTTTTATTTCATGCTTAATATTTAGTGTGGCTAGTAAAACAAAATACTTAGCAAGTGTTCCTTAGCTAAATAATGAGCAAACCTTCTGATAAGCAATAGGTACAAACCAAACATAGATGCTCGAAGGGGAGTATGATAATTACATGTTCATGCTAGAATTGAAAATTGCTTATATTTCAAGTATGCAATTTAAAATGGCTAAGTGATTTTTTAAAAAATCTCAATCAGCACCTGGTGCCAACCCCTCCACTCTGTTGCAAGGCCTGAGGCATGTTATGAAATAATTAAATATAATGAGAACTTCCTCAGTTAGGTAATAGGGACTTATCACTAAATTCAATTTAGTCACAAACACCAGGAACAATAAAATCTAAAGCAAACATCATATACTCAGGTTAATAGAAAAATGTCTACATTTCCAGAGCCCCATGCCAGGGGTGCTATATCCCAGGATAAGCAGGTCTGAGAACAAACTTAAATGTGTGTGTGTGTGTGTGTGTGTGTGCTCACATACACGTGCAGTTTGGCTTTGTAAGCCATTTGACTTCAAAGGGTGTGATATTCAGAACAATCAATGTGAAATGAAGAGTTATGGAAGCACTTTGGTTTTTGTTTTTAAGTTTTTTATTTTTCTTTATTTACATAATCTCTACACCCAACATGGGGCTTGAATTCATGACTCCAAGATCAAGAGCTGTATGGTCTTCTGACTGAACCTGCCAGGCACTCCGAAACTACTTTGAAAAGTGAAGCCCTCATTCACTTTGGGTAAGAAAATTTTATGTAGTGGCAATTTTCATTTTCCGAGTAGGAAGTCTTAACAAAAATACAGAGTTTTCTAAGTAAGTCATCAAATTGGCTGTCATGGATAGACCCTGTGGTGGCCCCTATGTTCATACCCTGTATCATCTCCACCTTGAATGTGAGTGGGATTTGTGATTTGCTTCTCACTGACAGAATATGGCAAGAGTGATGGGATGTCACTGCTGTATGTTACCTTCTACAAGACTATGTGTGGGGTGTCTGGGTGGTTCAGTTGGTTAAGCGTCTGACTCTGGATTTCAGCTCAGGTCATGATCTCACAGTTTGTGAGATTGAGCCCCATGTCAGGCTCTGTGCTGATAGTGTAGCACCTGCTTGGGATTCTCTCTCTCTCTGTCTCTCTCTGTCTCTCTCTGTCTCTCTCTGTCTCTCTCTGTCTCTCTCTCTCTGCCTCTATCTCTCCATCAAAATAAATAAAATGGACTTTAAAAAAAGAATCAAACTTAAAGACTATGTGTTAACAGACTAGAGAGAGACACAGAGAGAGAGGGACTCCCCTTGCTGGCTCTGAAAAAGTAACCTACAATGATGTGAGATTGTCTATGGTGAGGGCCCCATGGCCAAGAATTTCAGGCAGCTTCTAGAAGCTGAGAGTGCCCTTTGGCAGAGAGGCAGCTAACAAATAGGGACCGTGGCCCCAAAACCACGAGGAAATGGATTCTGCCAACAACCTGAATGAGCTTCGGAGTAGATGCTTCCCTAGTCAAGGCTCCAGATAAGAACATGGTCTGACTGACACCTTGATTACAGGTCGTGAGAGCGTGAATGGAGGATCCCGTTAAGCTATGCTCAGACTCCTCTGACACAAAGAAATGATATAATAAATTTGCATTGGTTTAAGTGGCTAAGTTCGGGGCAACATGTCACACAACAATAGAAAACTAACACACAGGGGTGCCTGGGCAGCTCAGTCGGTTGAGCGTCCAGCTTTGGCTCAGGTCATGATCTCACGGTCGGTGAGTTTGAGCTCCGCGTCAGGCTCTGTATTGACAGCCCAGAGCCTGGAGAGCCTGCTTTGGATTCTGTGTCTCCCTCTCTTTCTGCCCCTCCCCTGCCTGCGCTCTGTCTCTTTCTCTCAAAAATCAATAAACACTAAAAAAAAAAAAAAAAAAAGAAAAGAAAAGAAAAAAGAAAACAACACCCAGGTTGCAATGGGCTGAACCAAAGTCTAGATGTGTGGATGCAAAAGGCCTACAATTCCCTATCATGATCTAGATCAGGGATGGCAAACACGTTTCATCTCCTCTTCCTATGCCAACTAGTGATAGCTCTCTGGATTGTCATGTGGTAGATGGAATAGTTCACCAGAGGTGTCCATGCACAAATCCCTATATCCCCTGACTCTATTACGTTACGTACCAAAAAGGACACTTGGCAGATACAGTTAAGGTTATGGACCTTAACAGAGGGACACTATCCTGGGTTAGCTGCGTGGGGCCGGTCTGATCACAGAAGCTTTTAAAAGCAGAGAACTTCACCGGCCAGAGGCAACAGACATGTGGGAGAAGGAGCAGGTGGAGAGATGCAGATTGTGGGCGGGGCTCCACCAGCTGTTGCTGAAGGAAAGCCATGTGAAAAGCGTGAGAAGGAATGAGAGCAGTTTCTAGAAGCAAAAACTGCCTCTCGGCTGACAGACGACAAGGAAATGAGGTCCTTAGTCCCCAAGCTATAAGGAACTGAATTTAGCTAAAAACCTACATGAGCTGGGTGGTGAATTCATCCCCAAAACCTCCTGAAAGAAACGCAGGCCTGTTGACGGCTTGATTTCAGCCCTGTGACATTTTTTTAAATGTGTTTTCACTTTTGAGAGAAGAGTATGAGTGGGGGAGGAGGAGAGAGAGAGGGAGACACAGAATCCAAAGCAGGCTCCAGGCTCCGAGCTGTCAGCACAGAGCCCGATGCGGGGCTCGAACTCACGAACTGTGAGATCATGACCTGAGCCGAAGTCAGACTAACCGACTAACCGGTTAAGTCAGATGGCTTAACCGACTAAGCCATCCAGGCACCCTGTCAGTCCTGTGACATTGTAAACAACGGATCCACGGAGCGACAGATTACCTAGACTGCTGACCTACAGAAGCGAGAGATAAGAAATTCGTGTTGAGTGACTTGAGTTTGTGGCAGTTTGTTATGGCAGCAATGGCAAGTTAATACAAGCTGTGTTCGAGAGGATTCCAAGGCCATATCTGGGTACTGTGGGAAAGCGCTCATCGACTCATCAAAGATATGTGCCATGGAAGCAACATACGGGTGGCTTACATGGTTCTTCATTTGTCCCCCATGATCTACATGCTGTGCTCAGGGGTAGAAGTTACGTAACTATTGTTTCTGTTTGGAGAGCCCTGCCCCAAGGTATCTGTAAAGGCTTGTCCTCTCACTTTCTTCTGGCCTCTACTCCAAACCAATTCACCAGGAGGTCTTTACTGCACATTCTAACTAAAATTTCGTCTCTTCCTCCTCTCCTGGAAACATTTTACACCATGTCCCTGCTCCATGTTTCCCCTTTAGCTCTTACCACCTCGTAATATCCTTGTTTGCTTGGCTCATTGCCTGTGTCCCCACCGGTAGAAAGTAAGCTCCGTGCCGACAAGAGGTGTTTGTGTCTTTGGTTCGACGCTGTATTCCCAGAACCTACAACAGGTTATGCCAAGAGCATAAATGATGAAATAAAGAAATAAAAGAAATAAAATTACCATTAAAATGAAGAGGCTTTTTTTTTCTAGTTTGTCAAGTTCACACATCCCAACATCCTACAGTCATCTCCTGTGGAGGGGCTCTAAGAGGGGGTCGGTTGGCACAGAATACAGAAGGCATAACTGTGGCGGGCACACATGCCCATGGTGGAGCCATCACAGCTGGCAGCATGAATGGGAGCCAAGGTCAGCACACCCCCATCAGGTCCCGGGAGGACTGGAGGAGAACGTGGTCATAATACGCAAATGATTCCTCTGGCACTAGTCCTTTCCCCTGGAAGGAAGCAGAACGTGTGACAAAGTTGGACGTCTTCCTGGCCAGTTCGGTCCCTGGTGCTACAACACAGGGAAACCCTTAGGATTCTGGGCCAGTTCAGCTGCTTAGCCATGTAGAGCCTTCTTCTCACTCCAGGCTCCAACCAACTGTGGCTGTACTTTGCTTAAATGCTACAAATAACCAGATTAACCCATCTAGGAGATGTGGGCCACAGACACTAAGCTCATGAAAAGAAAGGCTAGAACGTCCCCCAGGATGATGGGATTTATAGCAGGTTTACAAAGCAAATGGCCAGCACTACAAAATAACACTTGTGGGAGAGCCTGGGTGGCTCAGTCGGTTAAGCGTCCGACTCTTGGTTTCGGCTCAGGTCATGATCTGTTTTGTGAGTTCGAGCCCCATGTCATGCTCCACGCTGACCACGTGGAGCCTGCTTGGGATTCTCTGTCTCCCTCTCTCTCTCTGCCCCTTCCCCACCCGTGTTGTCTCTGTCTCTCTCAAAATAAATGAATAAACTTAAAAAAAAAGCACTTGCCCTGTGGAGGACTGCTGATTTCAGGGTCAGCAGAGGTGGATTTAGATTTGTGTACCCCTAAAGTGAGATACAAGCATCATTCTTGCTGGATACAGAAAACAGATTAAGGCCTGGCTGCAGGCCTGGGAATGTCCTGGTGAGCCTCTTCAATGAAGTTCTTGAGAAGCAGGTTCCCATTGGGAAGTGAGCTTCCAGATGAGTAAGCACTTACCTGACTACAGGTGGCCACAAAGGGCACTTTGGTTTGGGGCAGTTGAGGCAGTGAACTTGGTCGTCCATGATCTGGCTTCCAAAGTAGTCTCTCAAGGGGTGCCCAGGTGGCTCAGTCGGTTGAGGGTCCGACTCATGATTGTGGCTCAGGTCGTGATCCCAGAGACATGGGATTGATCCCCACGTTGAGCTCTGCGCTGAGTGTGGAGCCTGCTTACGTTTCTCTGTCTCTCCCCATTGTCTGCGTGCTCTCTCTTTCTAAAATAAAATTTAAAAAAATATTCCAAAGTAGTCTTTCAAACAGGCTCTGCCGTGTACATGCATTCACTGGCCAGCTTGAGCCAGAAACTGATATTACCTGGGTACATTTTCTGTTAAAGCACTTTTTTTTTTCTGATTTTGATCACAGTCCAAGACTACTTGGAACAGAATCAATAATCACACCACATCTGGCACAGCTCTGTCATGTGCATCTTCTTCTGGACTTTTCCATTGCTCCTCCAATGCCTAGTTCCCTTTTGGGAGGGGCTGGGACTGTCCTTTTCTATACGTTCCCCTGAGCACCCATCTTGAGCTCAAAGGGAGAGATCATGTTCAGATATGCAAGGGTCCCTTCCTTAAGAAATTGCACCCATGCAGACAGGACTGCTCTCACATTCTTTCTGCAGATTTTCTAAGTGCTGGAAGAAAGCAATTAGCTGCAAGAAATAAGGACACTGGGGGCGCCTGGGTGGCTCAGTCGGTTGAGCGGCCGACTTCGGCTCAGGTCATGATCTCATGGTCCGTGGGTTCGAGCCCCGCGTTGGGCTCTGTGCTGACAGCTCGGAGCCTGGAGCCTGTTTCGGATTCTGTCTCTCCCTCTCTCCGACCCTCCGCTGTTCATGCTCTGTCTCTCCCTGTCTCAAAAATAAATAAAACATTAAAAAAAATTAAAAAAAAAAGAAATAAGGACACTGGTAAATTTGGAAAAGAAAAAAAACAATGCTCACAAATCCTGACTCATAACTAAAAAAAAATTGTTATTCCCGAAACTCTCTGAAAATTGATTCTGTCACTTCTGTGACATCCTGTGCTGCAGAAGGAACTAATCATCTTATACCTCTGCTTAGAAATGTTTGCCTGGCCGGGTTGGCTCAGTCGGTGGAGCATGTGACTCTTGATCTCAGGGTCGTGATTTCGAGCCACACATTGAGCATGGAGACTACTAAAAAAAAGAAAAAGAAATGAGAAATGTCTGCCTCAGTAAGGTCATATGATACGAGAAAGAAACATGATAAAAACAAGACATGATTGAGAGACTCTACATGCATTGAGGACATTAAAAAATTTTTTTTAACGTTTATTCATTTTTGACAGAGACAGAGCATTAGCAGGGAAGGCATAGAGAGAGAGGGAGACACAGAATGTGAGGCAGGCTGCAGGCTCTGAGCTCTCAGCCCAGAGCCCGATGTGAGGCTCGAACCCATAAACCGCGAGATCATGACCCGAGCCAAAGTTGGACCCTCAGCCAACTGAGCCACCCAGGTGCCCCTAAAACAGTTTAGATAAGAACTATAGCAATGAGGGATTTTTCTTCATTTTTTTGCTTTATTTTAAAATGTATCGTAAGGAGGCAAAGAGAACTGGGTTGGTAGTAGAGTGTTTCTGATTCACTACAAGCCTGTCCTTTAGATACTCTGGAATAATTATTAGAAATAGAAAGATAAAAAATACTGCTATCATGCTTACACCCATTCCAAGTGCCCAAAAGGGTCTGACTCATAGGGGAAGGTCACATTTCTCAAGTTTAAGCAATCAAAGTAAAAAGCCTTTGACTGTTTCTTCCTTAAAAGTGGTCTGATCAATTTAATTTGGAGGGCACCTGTGTGGCTCAATCGGTTGAGCTTCTGACCCTTGATTTCTGCTCAGGTCATGATCTCATTATTCATGAGTCTCTGGGCTGACAGCATGGAGCCTGCTTGGGATTCTCTCTCTCTCTCCCTCTCTCTCTCTGTCCCTTCCCCACTGGCTTGCTCACCTTCTCTCTCTCTCTCCCTCAAAATAAATAAATAAACTTGAAAAAACCTTTAATTTGGAAAGGGAATATGGAGGATTTTAAACAGAGAGATTTACAGTATTTTTCAGCAGAACAACTGTGATTAGAAAGGTTTTTTTTAAGGCAAATGTATAAAAATATACCTTCTGCAGGACAACGTTCTTTAAAAAACTGATGATATAAAATTAACAAGGAGTGGGGCACCTTTGTGGCTCAGTCAGTTGAGCATCCAACTCTAGCTTGGGTCATGATTTCATGGTTCATGAGTTCTGATGAGGGAGCGTGGGGCAAGCTGACAGCAAAGTACATGCTAACAGCACCGCCCCTCCCCGCCCCCCCCCAGGAGTATGTGTGCTATTCCTCGGACACTCCTGGCTGCCCAAGGACAGGGGAAAGGAAAGAAAGCAGATAGTTGGCCGATAGAGATGACAGTCATGCAGGACAGGAGTCTCCTTCAGTTCACGGATAACTTAGAAAACTGCAAGAAAAAGGCAATCTTCTCCATAGCCTAATCTCCAGAAACCTATAGACTCCGTTTCCTAGAGCCCTAATACCACCCTCACCAAGATGGAAGGGGGTTTAAGTGCCAGCCATGATGATGTGGGAAACTAAGGCAAGTGAGAAATTAAATTCTCTTACTGCCTACAGCCCACTGACAAGTCCTTGAGGCCAGCAGAGTGACCTCCCTCTAGGAGCTCAGCTGCCTCGATGATGACACTTTGCTAGGAGCAAAAGGGAATCGTGGGTTAACATTATCCTGACACCCCAGGATCCTGTAAGTCTACTGTACCATATAAAAATTCCTTTGGAAACTTCCTTTATCTCAACTCCCCGGAGATATATGCTGGCAATCATACTCCAGGCTTCTGGCCCCTGATATACATCTGAGGGGTCTCATGACTGAAGTTTTACTAAATGGTAATACATTGCATTTTCCTACCAGCAGCTGGCCCCTCAAGATCCTGGAAACCTTCCTTCCAAAATTCCTTAGAAACTTATGCTGTTCCTGACCCCCCTCCTAACCTGAGGGTATCTAATCAGTTACTCATCACAACCCCAGTGCAGCTCTTTTGCCCACGGGTCCTGTCCCCGTGCTTTCATAAAATGACCTTTTTGCACCGAAGATGTCTTCAAGAACTCTTTCTTGGCCATCAGCTGTGAATCCCAACATCACCCCAAGACCTCACCAAAACCATCAGACACGCTGGGCTTTGTCCCGCACTGCTTCTCCCCGGGCAGACATCTGGTGAGGACACTGCCTGGAAAGAAGGTAGAGGCTTCAGCCTCTGGGGGAGACGGAGCCTCAGGGGGGCTCACCTGAGGAAGAGGACGGGCGTGCTCCCGGGGGATGCGGCACAACACCTCCCTGATGGTGATGAGAAGTGACCCTCTGCTTTGCTGTAACCACCCACAGTAATAAAGACAGAAAAGGTAAAGTGGGAGGGCCAAGGAGGGACCAGCTGCCCTACACACACACACACACACACACACACACACCTTGGCCCAGTCTTTCCCTAAGGGCCTAATCCAGGAACAGAGCGAGAAGGGGGCTGCCGGCTACATGGAATGTATCTGCTGGGGCGTCAGCTCCACTTAACGGGGGCTGGAAGGAAACAACTGGCTGCCGGAGCACAGGAGACAAAAAATCCCCAGTAGTGTGGGAGGTGGGGATTCCTCCCGGAGGAGGCTTCACCCTGGGTCACTTACACCTGGGTGAGGTGGAGTTTCTGGTGTGGGGGGCTGCCCAACCGAAGGTGGGCCTCGTGCCGACCCAGGCCGACTCAACGGAAAACGTTAGCTGAGGCCTCCTCTCCCTGTCCCGTGTCAGTACGTGGTCCTTCGGCCGCATGGGTATGTGGTCTCAAAAAGCCAGCGCTTGGAGCCCAGTTTGGGGGGACCCAAGTTTCCCGGAGGTCAAATCTGCATGAACATAAGCCAAAGCACAAAGCGGGCCAACTGAAGAATCGGCTGGTACAGATGAGGGAGTGTGGGGTGGGCTGAGGACAGAATGCAAGCTAGCACCTCCCCCCCCCCCAGGTGGGGTATGTGTGACATTCCTCAGGTACTCCTGGCTGCCCAAGGACAAAGGAAAGGAGAGAAAACAAATGGTTAAGTGATAGAGGTCACAGTCATACAGGGCATGAGTCCCCATCAGTTTGCAAATATCTTAGTAAATTACAAGAAAAAGGCAATCTTGTCAATAGCCTAATGTCCAGAAACCTATAGACTCAGTTTCCTGGAGCCCCAACATCACCCCTCCATAATGATGTGGGGAACAAGGGCAGGAAGGCAATGGCAGGTAAAATTAAATTTCCTTATGACCTGCAGCCCATTGACAAATACTTGAGGCAAATACAGAGTATAACATTTCTCCAGGAAACCCTGCTGCCCTAATGCCAATGCCTTACTAGAGGGAAAAACAACCTTACTA